GAAATGTTCCTAATGTATCACAGTGTGTATTTCAATGTGTAGTCCTTTGTTCTTTAAGGAGGGTAGTATAAAAACTGAAGTCTAATCACGCCCTCCTCGTTCAGAATTGCCTATCTCTAATATGCTCTGGACCTTGCGCAATTAAACTTCTCTGCTAACCCCTCCGGAATTCGTAAGAGTTCTTTCGTTTTCCACAAGACTATAACCTATCAGAGAATAGTGAAGTGTCTGTTTGCACATGTGTCATATGCAGGCAGAACTATAAATTATAGGGTGCCTGACTCCCTGGTAGTATACAATAAACATTTAAAGCAATATAAATGCAAACAATGCAAAAAACAGACATCCAGAAAAATAACATAGAATTCTCACAGGCACAAATCTGGGGGACAAGATAGGTTTTAATGGCTCATTTGAATTAAGTTTAGGATGGGGAACCATAGGAATCTCTGGGGAGACCTCATTCTAGAGTACAGACAAGGCCACTTCCTGGGTTCCATCAAATGCCATTGTTTAACTGATGGGACCAGGAAATGTGACCCTGCCAGATTGTATAGGATAGGCAGCTGCAGAAACTACCGTTTGAGAGTCAAATGGTCCCTCAGGATTGCAGAAATCTGGACATCAAGTCGATGGCAGCAAAGAGAAACAAAATTTCCTTGCTTTACATATCATTGCATTACTGTCTGGTTTGGAAGCAGTACTGCTTCAGACAGGAAGGCAGTGCAGAGAGTGGTGAGGATGGCAGAAAAGAATATTGGTAGTTCACTTCCGTCTATCCGGGACATGGCATATAAGCAATGCTTGAGTAGGGTCCGCAGTATCACCTGGGACGCTACGCATCCTCTTCATGACCTGTTTTCCTTGTTACCTTCTGGGAAAAGGCTCCGTGGTATCCAAAGCAGAACATCCAGATTCAGTCACAATTTTGTTCCATACAGCATCTCAGCTGTGTATTCAAAATGTGCAGTGATTAATGTGTGTGTATATGTGTTTAGCATGTTATATGTGTGTTATGTGTTACTTTCTTTTGAGAGCAGGCAACAGAATTTCATTTTTAATGTGTGCCAGTGAGCTCACAGTAAAAAAAAATTACAATAAAGGTTATCTGATCTTACCTAGCCTCCACCTATTTTCAGATATGGTATCCCAAGCACAACTATTCTAACTGCACATCACCTCAGTTTTATACTTAATCATGTCTTATGCATATCCTTATAAAATAGTATACATGTGTACATATGGGAGAGGACTTATATTTGCAAACATACGTAATAGGATACTGTAAATACTATACAGTGCAACCCCCTTGGAATCCCTGACCAGGAGGATCCTTCACCTCTGTTCTGCATGTGTTCATCACTATAACACTGTGTCAAGGTTTTGCACTTAAACTTTCTTCCAACTTCTGTGCATGTCTGAAAAAGGTGTTGAGCCTTTTAGGAATCATTTTAACTTTAATGAATGAAATCCTTTTAAAAAAAGCATCTTTTCCCCCCGATTTCAACAAATCAAACTACTTTAATGAAGAACGAAGGAGCCTGAAAATGTTTTCTTCAGAATCCCCATAGAAGCATGTTTGCCCTAATAAGTAGAACAAAACTTGAGAAGTGGGTGGACTATACAAGCTCAATAACATTTTTCTTCTCCCGAGTGCTAGGAACTGGAATCCCAGTTACTGATTAAATTCTTTTTTGCCACTACTTCCTCTTTACTCTAGGAGTTCTCAAAGATTACAATCAGGTTCTGAGATCACATTTCCAGTTCCTTTAACATCCATCCAATTTCAGAAATATAAAGCAGCAAGGTGTTCCCTTACCAATTCCTCGCCTCTTTCGATCTGCATTTTATTTCTAACACCCTATGATGTAGCGTCTGACAGATTGGGCCATTTTTCCTTTTGTGCAAAGACAGATACAAAATAGGGATTAAGTAGTTTAGCCTCCTCCTTGTTGCCCATCTCCATCTCACAAATTTCTGCAACCATTCGGCTTCCTTAACTTTCTCTTGTGATGCACAAAAAACTCTTATGTGTTATTTCTGGCATTTTATTTTAATTCTTACCTCATTCCAAGCCTTCACTTCCCAATCCCATCTTTGTAGTTTTGACTGTTCCCTGGTATTTTGCTTTGGTTACGTGGTCCTCTTTCTCACCCAAGGAATTAATTGGGATACATTTGTATGTTGTGTCTGATGACCATTCTAAGGTCTACTTAACTTCAGCAACATGGTGCCCTAATAGCAAACCCATTAGCTATTTTGTGAGATGGGGAAAACTCAGCCTTCACGTGAAAGGCAGTCATTTACTTCAGTGGTACGGTATGTACAATTGCAATGTTGTTTCTGACCAGGAAAAAAATGGTTGTGTCCTTTATAAAACAGAAGATTTTGATAGCGTAGAGTAGTAGCCATTTTGTTCAACTGTGTACAGGTAGTCCTTGACTTACAACTGTTCATTTAGTGACTGTTCAAAGTTACAATAGGCCGGCCCTATTAACTGTTAACCAGCAAAATAAAATGCTTCATCACTACCGGTAGTTAATACAGTCCTATTAAAGTTTGGATATATTCCACTGACATGTAATAAACAATGGCATCTGGAGATTCTGCAATCTCCTATAAGTTAATCTATAAGTTATTAAGTTATTAGATAGATTTAATATTTAAAGAAGCTATACAGATTCTTGTTTTGACTTTTATGAATCCTGTCTCCAAGGTGCAGAAATGCATTTGAGACACAATGCACCATCTGGAGAATTGCTCTAATAAATTTGGATTGAACTCTTTCCAATGGTGTGAAACACGAAGCTGAGGGTCCGCATAAAAGAATAAAACAAACACGGAAGTCCCAATCAAAAACTGTGTTGGTAGACCATGCTGTAATGGTTAACTGAATTCTTATTGACTGAATCAATATAACGGCCTTGATTTGCACAGCACAGTTGAATCAGAAATTAACTATACTAAATTAGGGTGGAAATGTTACCAAGAAATAAATGAAGTAAAGTCCTTAGGAGTAGCAGTATCTTTGAATTGAACCTTAAACTGCAATATTTCTTTTTCATGCTGATGTTAGCTCATTTGTTATATAAACTAGTGAGATTGCGATTTTTTTTTATAGCTAAGCTAAAAATTACTATTAGAAAAGAGGGAACACCGAAACAGGGAAGTAAGATTTTTCTTCAGACTTTCTTTGACTCAGCAATTCTTGAGATTGCAGCAAAGTCATGAAACTATAGAAGGTATTCCTGAGGCATTCCACCATCATTACACGTATCTTCCTTTTGTAACAACATCTTACTTGATGAAGAGATCTTAGACACTTTGAATTGGCTTGATAAATATATGTTAATGTTAATTTTGGATCTTTTTTTCCTTATGGCCAGAATCAATTTGTTTTTTATAAAGTGAAAAAAAATAGGTAGTCCTCGATTTATGATTACAAATGACCCCAACATTTCTGTTGCTAAGCAAGACAGTTGTTAAGTGAGTTTTACCCCGTTTTACAACCTCTCTTGCCACAGTTATTAAGTGGATCACTTCCATTGTTAAGTTAACAAAATGGTTGTTAAGTGAATCTGGCTTCCCCACTGACTTTGCTTGTCAGAAGATCGCAAAAGGTGATCACATGATCCCGGGACACAGCAGCGGTCATAAATACGTACCGGTGGCTGAGTGTTCAAGTTTTGATCATTTGACCACGGCAAAGCTGCAACGGTCACAAGAGTGAAAAACAGTCTTAAGTCACTTTTTCCAGTGCCGTTATAACTTCAAATGGTGATTAAATGATTTTAAGTCAAGGACTTCCTATATACCCTTACATCAGCATGGGTTTGTGCTCCATGAGGGAGCAGACTAAAGGCTGCAGAATTTTATTATTTGAGCCTGCAATTTAGATTAATTTAACTAGGTTTAGTGCAACCATTTTTGCCATAAAGAATAGGATAGACGTCTTGGGAGATAGCAGGTGCTGAACATGCCATGACTTGTGTGTTGGCAATCTACGGTTGGATTATAGTAATGTGCTCTTTGTAGGCCCTTGAGGAATGTGCAGAATTGCAGAATACCATCACACCTCCCTCCCTCTGGTCAAAATCATGGGCTTCACTATGTATAAAATATGTTTCTTTGTTCTGAACAATCAAATGAAGATGGATTCTATATCTTATTTTTATTGTCCTTGTCCCCAATCATTATCATTCACCTGATTTCTTTCCAAGGTAACAGGTGACAGAGAGGAACAGATTTTACATGCTAGAAACTGCCCTTGAATGGTGTCAGAATAAGAAAGAAAATACAATTTTAATACTGGAACAGCTGAGAATGATTTAAGTTTGATTCACTTGAGGGGCTGCCACAAAGAAGAGGGGGTCAACCTATTTTCCAAAACACCTGAAGGCAAAAACAAGAAACAATGGATGGAAATTAATCAAGGAGAGAAGCAACCTAGGAGAAATTTCCTAATGGTGAGAATAATCAACCAATGGAACGGCTTGCTTTCACAAATTGTGGGTGCACCAACACTGGAGGCTTTCAAGAAGAGACTGGACAGCTATTTGTCTGAAATGGTATAGGGTCTCCTGCTCAAGCAGGGGGTTGGACTAGATGACCTCTAAGGTCCCTTCCAATTCTGTTATTCTGTTTTGTGTTGACATATTAACCATCCTGCCAAATGCCTGATATAAGTGTGATGGGTCACATCCCCAAGGATTTGGTCTTGGAGAGGCACCAACATTCATGTTAACTGTTTAAATGGGTGCACCTCATAATGTCACGGCTTCCAAGGGTTTCAAAAGATATATTCATAACTTTCCCAGATGACAGGTCATATCCTGAATTTGGCTTTTGTCTTGAATGCAAATGACCAACATACAGTGGACCCAGAAATGATACTATTATCATGGACTTAGCACTATTTGGTGAGATTTGGATCTCTGAAGCATATTCTCGTCAAGAGCAAGGACGACATCAAATAGGTCCGCCACAGAGACTGAGAGATTCTATTTGATTCCAAGTAGTTCTGAACAATGTTCTCTGCAGTTCTCTGCAATTTGACTGTTCAGTTTTTCAGTGACCATGTTGAAATGCAGAATATTGATACATATCTGGCATTTAATATAGTAGCTCCTAAGCAAGATCTAACTTTGCCCTACTTTGGAGTCCATATTATATCTGGGCTCATATAATGGTTCCAAGAAATATAGGGGCCAAGATTTGAACAACTATGATGTAGGTCCAGGGGCAAAGACAAAGCATAATGGGGGATTCACCATGAGATCTGTGCAGCAGCTATTAGAGAGAAGAAATGTTGGATTTCCCTTCCCCCTCTTCCCTCAACTGCAGACAACAGTCCAAAGGAATCCTTGGGCAGATACCCTTCAGTGGCTCTGCGTAGCACCCAGATCCCATCTGATCAATCTGGTAAACAATTTATGAAGTTCTCTATGAATGAAATAGTTCAAATTTGTGCTGGTGTTGAAATCAGCCCAAGGAATCTATCATCCATGTATAATAATAGCATAATTTCAGACAGTTCCATAGTTTCACTTGTGAGAAATTAGGTAAGATATTCGGATCTCTTTGGGCCTCCCATTATATGTTTGGTTCCTTCCCTGGCTTGGCTTGTTAAGAACCTCTAACAGTCATTTTACATCATTAATCCATGTTTTTTGCAAGCTAAGTCTACACCCAATAAATGAAGTAGTGGTAACAATAAGATCCCTGTCCCTCCCAAAGTATCTTTGGATCTAGTTAAGAGCTATCAACCAATCCCCCTCCCCAAAAAAATAATCCTTAGATGAGATAGATTATCCTAATCCTTTTAAGCCTAATTTTAGGCCTTGGATGATATGGAGACACTGGTGAGAAATGCAGAAATGACATGCAGCATTTGTAATAGTGGTATGGAGAAGCAAATTTCACAGATGTAGATTGTTACTTTGAACATGATTGTGGAAAGTTATCCTGTGGATAGCAAAATTCAGATGTTGTCAGAGTAATCAAAGTTAATGGAGACATTCTGAAGTCATTATATATGCTCTCTAGTCCATACCGGTAGTAATATCCTTGTCTTCTTCCCCTACGTATCTTGTGCATGGATATCTTTGTGGCTATTTTTTATGTAGTAAAAAACGATTGATTAATTAATTAGAAAAGAATTAATGCTACGATTGTCTTCCGGTCCTGCTGCCACCTTTTTCATTTCAACTTCCTCCTTCTTTGCTTGCTTGCTTGCTTGCTTGCTTCCTTCCTTGGAGGAACTGACCACTCTATATTTCACCTACTGTACTTTCGTAGAAAACAAACGAGACGGGGTGGGTGGGTAGAGAGAGAGAGAGAGAGAGAAGAGGCGACGTTCTCGGTTGCGTCTTGGCCTCACGTGTTCGTGACGAAGGGTATTGGTTCCTTTCTCTTTCCGTAGCCGCTTCTTCCGCCCGGGGTTGTCACGTGAGCCGCCTGACAGCTGAGCGCGCGTGCGCCCTTCGCCTCTTTCGGCGGGCATGGCGCTGCTGTTGCTGCTGCTGTCTGGCCGGCGTTGCTGCGGCGGCGGCGGCTTGCGTTTAGGACTTCGCCGACCTCCTGTACCCGCTGCTTCCCTTCACCGGGCTTCACGCCCACCGGAACCTCCCCGGTGGCCGGCCCAGAGGTGAGAATCTGGGCTTGGGAGGCACGCCGGCTTCTTGGAGCCTCCCGCTCTGCCAGAGAGAGCGAGAGAGAGAGGCATGGCGGCAGCCGCCGTCTGCATATTCCCTTCCTTGTAGGGAAGTCCGTGTCTCTTCCCGGACTTCCATGCAACGGGGAGCTGCGTGCCCCGGCCCCCTTCGTGCTGGAGGCGAGGGAAGATGCAGCACTTTGACTGCCGCTCCCCCTCCGCCCGCAAAAGTAGCCCGCTTAAGTTCTCAGCCAGGGACGGTGGCTGAAATGGTTCTGCTCCGTATCGATTAATCTCCATCCACCTCGAGAAAATTCTGGCCCCGATTATCCTTTTAAGGATTCGAGGAAGGCAGAGATGGCAAAAATATCCGCGTACCTGAAGGACCATTCTCAGGAGAAAATTAACTCAATGTGGAGAAGATGGATAGATTATATTCAGAGAAAGTATGAATTGAAAAATTATTATGTAGCTTTTGATTAAAAATTCTGAACAAAAATATGTATATCAAATATTGATATATTTTTTAAAAAAAATTGTATGTATTTTAATGTTATTTTAGAGTCACAGTAAGTTTATACTAGTGTGTAGTAATAATGAGTAGTTTTGAATAGAATTGGATTATTGTGTGTTTATTTCCTAGATTAGCTTTGGGAAGTCCTGGAGGGGGGAGGAGGGGGGAAAGGGGTAGGTTTGTGTTCTAGATTTATATGTATGATTTTTTAAGGAGGTGTCCGGTGGTGCCCCAACTGCACAAGATGGGTGGTTGAGTGAGGAAGGGAGGTAGTAGGAAAGAGGGAGGAAGGAGGAGTGGTGGTAGGTTGGGAGGAGGAAGGTGTGGTAAGTGGAAGAGGGCGGTGCGGGAGGGGGACACCGGACACTTCCCTGAATGTATTGATTAGTGTTATTTCTTTTGGTTGATATTGTGATAAAAGATCTATGTTTTTGTTTTTAAATGAAAAATTAATAAAAATTTAATAATAATAATAAAAAAAAGGATTCGAGGAAGAAGGCAGAGGCTCAGAGGAAGGCAGCGAAGAGTGATCCGGACAGAACTATGCAGAGAGGAGCTAGGAGCTGTGCATGGGCAGCCCTGGAGGAAAGATGGCTTAAGGCGGCAGCCCATCGCATCCTTTGGGTGTTTGAATGGAGGAGGTCTTCGATTCCAAAGTACAGGTAGTCCTCGACTTGCAGCAGTTCCTTTTAGTGACTGTTCAAACTTACAACGGCACAGAAAAAAAATGTGACGGGACCGTTTTTCAGTTAGGACCTTTGCAGCATCCTCATTATTATTATTATTTATTGAATTTATATACCGCCCTATCTCCCTTACGGGACTCAGGGCGGTGAACAGGCGATAATAAAAACCACGATAAATATACACAAATTTCTGTTCTAAAATCAAATTAAATTGAACGTGGGATCAAAATTCAGACGCTTGGCAACTGGCTCGTATTTAGGACCGTTGCTGTGTCCCAGGGTCAGGTGATCCCCTTTGGCGACCTTCTGACAAGCAAAGTCAATGGGGAAGCCAGATTCACTTATCAACCAGGTTACTAACATCAACTGCACTGACTCACTTAATGACAAGAAGGTCGTAAAACTCACTTAACAAATGTCTCGCTTAACAACAGAAATCTTGGGCTTGATTATCATTAAATCGAGGACTACCTGTACAATATACCGAATGGGTTTAAGTTAGAGCAAAGGTGTCAAACGCGATCGCGTCATGTGACGTAGCGCGATGTTTTTTGCCCTTGTGGAACTGGGGTGGGCATGGCCTGCGCATGACGCATCTAGCTCAAGGGCCACCAATTTAACACCCCTGAGTTAGAGGAAGGAAGATTCTGCTTTCTGACGATAATTGCTATTCAACAGTGGAACCAATTCTTAGAGGGCAAGTGGGCTCCCTTTTGCTGGATGTGTTCAAAATAAAGGCTAGACATCTTGGGTAAATAAAACTAGGTACTCCACTTATAATTATGAGTTCCATGAAAATGTGTTCCAACCTTTTTTTCACTGTGGGCATAAAATATTAATTTTAAGCTGGACTGTTTGAAACATCAGTCAGAGATAGTTGTTCTCCATTAGTCTGCTATAACTACAATATTAAAGTTGTTTCTGTGTGAGCTAAACGGCATAAAAGAGATACATGACAATACAAGTGCTGAACTTGGATGTCCTTTCAGACTTCCAGTATGCCGTTTTTCTTCAAAAGCAAACTCAAACAAGCTTACCTCTGCTTTGGTTTCAAAAATCAAATACCTGAATCAGAAGTATGAAAGATATTTGGAAAGGAGATTCCCACGTTTCTATCAGCTGTATTCAACATTTTTAAAAGGTGGGTTTTCATTTAAAAATATAGTTTATAATTTCAGCGAAAAGGCAACCCAGGAACATATGTCTTAATTTTTGTAGTATGCAAAATGTTTTAAATTGAAGGTATCCTGTTTCAGATTTCAAATGAATTGCACTGATGGAAGTGTGTCAAACAGAATTGCTTTAAAACGAGATGGGCTGCAAATAAATTTAATAATAAGATAGCTCTCTTTTAAGCTTTTTTTTGAACAATCTCAAAACTTAATTGAAATAGCTTTTTGTATGTAAAACAACCATTTCAAAATAAAAATGGAGTGTTTCTGCATACTATTCTGTATGCTAAACTGAAGTTTGGGAAACAAGTGCTTATATTAATTATAATTGATTATATATGCAGCATTCCAGATAAATGTACCCAATTCCGGTATAATGAAAGATTCTCATGCTTGTTGTTCCCCTTCCCAGTTCTTTTAGATTTACAAGGAAAGTGCTAAAAATGCCTCCTTCCAATTTGAATGGAACAATTCATTATAATGCTCAAGAATCTTATTTGAAACTACAATTTGATCCTGACATGTTCTCAGGAACATCTTTAAGCTCAGAAGTCCTAGGTAATTGTTAATTCCTAGAGCAGTGATGGCGAACCTTTTAGAGATCAAGTGCCCAAATTGCAACCCCAAACCCACTTATGCATCCTCGGGTGCCGGGTGGGTGTGGCCCATTGACTGGGTGTGGCCCATTGGGTGGGTGTGGCTGCAGTGGTAATGGCAGACTGGGTGGGACTAAATAGTTCAATCAATTCCAACTTTGCAAGATCTTTTTTTTCCCTGCGAGAAGTAGAAATTGACTGATTGATTAAACCTTTTTTTTTTTTTCACACAGAGGCGGAGGCCTGAAGCGAAAAGGTTTTATAAAACCCAGCTGAAGGCCTAGGACTGGGGCGACGGTGTGCGTGCCCACAGAGAGGGCTCTGAGTGCCGCCTCTGGCACCCGTGCCATAGGTTCGCCACCACTGTCCTAGAGGAAGAGGGAAATAGAGGAGAACGAAAAAGTGAACTTAAGGCTTCCAACAGTTTGTTCTTTTTAATAAAGATGTGTTTTTTTATTAAATCTGAATTAGTCTAGAATCTGATCTGAGGAGGAAGAGATGAATATGTGAGCAATATGTTGACATTCTGAATGAAACTGTATTTGTGTGTGTATGTGTGTGTATAAAATTTCTTTTATGAAAGCAGTAGATTTTGCAGAATGACAAGGAATGAAAGAGGCCTTGAGCTGAAAGAATACATATAAGAAGAATAGCAAGCATAGCTGTATGGCTCCTGATTTCTCAACAGTTTTCTCTCATTCCTTCTAAGACAATAGTGATATGTATAGTCATGTCACTAGTATAGTATACCTTACAACAGGGCTGAATAAGCTTATACTATGAAGACTATTATCAACGCTACAATACTGCATTTCTATGGCATGCCCTAATATTATTAAATCAGGAGGGAAACAATTAGATGGCCAAGATTTTTTAGAAATTGAACAAGAAAGTCAAAATAGGCCCTGAAATCAATAAACACAAGGAACTGTATGTCTGTGGAGATTCTCAGTCATCCAAGTCATAGTGGTCTCAAAAGTGCTTTTTCAAAAGGCAACTGAACTGTTTTTTTCCTTGAGGAAGAAAAAGAAGATATTTTGCTTCTTATCCAAGAAGCTTCCAACTTATGAATTTTCTTGATGCTGCAAAAGTGTTTTCTTCTTCTCCCTCAATGAAAAAACAGTCCATCTGCCTTTTGAAAAAGCACCTTTGAGACAAGGAACTGTAACATTTTTTTCTAGAGAGGAATGAATGGTGATATTTTCAGATTAAAATAAATATATGAAAAACACAACATGAAAGTGGAAGTGAAATCTGAAAATAATTATATATTCTGTTCAGGCTTACAGGTTTTCTTTTCAGAAGCAAAAGAAATAAGAAAAATAAAGGCAGATATGTCAAATAAAAACATCCAGTTCCATCAACTTCCATACAGGGAAATGGAGAGACTAAGACAGGTAGGTTTGTATTCCATGTTCTCTTTTTCCTGTTGACTTTCTAAAGCTTAAATTGCACTAGATGTTGGAGTTGACAGGTTAATTTTAGGCAGTATTTACAGTAGTTCCTGCACTTCCACAACAATATTCGTACATGAGGAATTATCTTTCATAGTACATATCTAGTACACTTCTTTGCTTGTATGTTCAAGGATTTTAACAAAAATGATCTACGTGAGGTAATGAGAAATATATCTGTGCTGGAAATCTGTTTGCTTTAGTTTGATATAGTGTTGTTTTATAGATGATCCTCTTTTGAAATGATCAGAAATTAGTATTGTTTTTCCTTTCTGAGGCTCCATTCATTCGGCAATAATTTGGAGTCTGTCTTGTGATTAGGGATAAAGCAAGCAGCAGATGGGGCTAGAGTTAAACCAGATATAAAGCCTGACAGTTATTTTCTGACACAGTCTTACATTTTTCCAAAGCTGTTGGCTGGAGGAAAACAACTGACTGTTCTTATCAGAGGTCTGGACTGATTTTTGCACAGAATTTTGAAATTAGGGCATGGAACTCATGACATACAGCCTCAGGGCTGACCTAGATTACTGGCGTAACCATCAGGCATAAACCACATCTTAAAACCGCAGTGACTTAAGTTCACACAATGCACCCAGTGAAAATCCAGCCTACCATATGTCCTAACCATCATTCAGACTATAAGTGGTGGAGCAGAAAATTTATATTAGGGCAACCTGGAATGTTCTGGTTATAATTTAGAATACAGATATTCCTTGACTTAACCAGTTGTTTAATGACTTTGGATTACAATGACTTTGGAAAAAAAATGCTTTATGGCCTGTAAAGCAGTTCCATCTGTCATAAAATGTGCAACACCCCCCCACACCCATTATGTCACATTATAGCATCTGGATGCTTGGCAATCTGTTTGCACTTATGTGTGAATGGGGGGGGGGGAGGAGTTGACCTCAGGGGGGAGCTTTTTTTCCACTCCATTTGCTTAACAATCCATGATAACATCCCGGTGATGCTTAATGACCATACTGGGAATGCCAGGATTGTGGTCATTGAGTGAAACAGTCATGTGAGCATCTCACTTAACATCCTCATTGCTCAACAATTGAGATTCCAGTCCCAATTGCTATGGGCATCCTGTATTGCGTGAATCCAAACAATTATGGCTTTTTAATCTTGGTTAAATTAATCATGATTTATAATAATAATTATATGCCATGGACAGTAGTTATATATAGTAGTCTCTAACAGCTTTAAGTTGGTTAATAGATATTTTCTGAAAAGGATTAGAAAGTGAGACTTGAGAACTTAGTATCCTTTAAATGACTCCGCTCCAGGGGTAGGCAACCTTGGCTCTTTTATGACTTGTGGACTTTTATGACTTGTGGACTTCAACTCCCAGAATTCCTGAGCCATCCATAAAAGAGCCAAGGTTGCCTATCCCTGGCCTAATCACTTCATCTCCCAGGGCTGAAACCTGCAGAAGGCCACTGTCTTGCAATCTGCTTGTGAGGGGCAACTATCCAGAGCACATGTGGGTGTCTCCCATCCTCTCCTTTTCTGGAGATATTCCAAAGAACTGGTCTACTCCTTAGTCATCAGTCATCTTCAGTTTGCCACGCCTCCCCCAAAAGTCCAATCTCAGTACTTTCATCTTTTCTTTATCCTACTTATAGTACTTTCACATTTGAGTATAGCACCGCTAACAACTATGCAATAGAAATAAGTATTCTCTTTATTTCAGTCATCAATCAGCATAATATAACATTCAAGAATAAAATTATAGCCATCCCATTGTTTTAGTAGTCTAACTCAGGGCTGTTTAACATGGTCATAATTGATCTCTCCCCAAGGGCTTCTGGAACTGCCAGAGGTTTAATAAATAGCTGGGGATCAAAAGGAGGTCTGTAAATAACTCGGGTCAATAGGTAATCAATAAATGATGAAAAGTCAATTTTTTGAGGCCTGTGTAGTGTTCCATGCCATTCCTACTCCTGAAAGTTATTTGGCTAATGGAAAGACATTGTTACTCAAGGTTGGAAGGTCACCTGCCAGTGAAAGTGGGCTTGAGTTGTCTCTGTTGTTGCTATTCATAGTACTATAGTACTAAATTATTTTCTTATAATAAATGTTTGGGGATCGATGAACTATCTGAAACTTCGGCGATCAATGAGCTGAAGAGTTTAGGGACCCCTGACTTGTATGCTAAAAGAATTGACTAAAATTTAGATCACTAGCACAAACTATAAAATCATGGTAGGATGACCACTAAGAGTATGCTTTGAAAGACAAAAGTGAATATAAAAGAGAGAAGTTGGGTAAAATTGTAGAATTTATGAAGTTAAATTAAAGTAGCCATCACAAATTATAGAATCACTATCACTAAAATCTAGAGGTAAACTAATTTAATATCAGTATTGTAACTAGCAACTATAAGAGGGCGTATAAAATAGAAGTTTGTAAATGAATTACAGTAACTTAAAAGGCTAAACAGCCAATAATGACCAATTGTAATAGCTGGTTTCCTGCATTGTTAAGGGGGTCTCTAGCAATTAATAATAATGGTAACTATGCATTGTTCCTCTAGTTTCGCAGAGATCTTATTAAAGCCATTCCTGTTGGGATTCTCTCTCTTCCACCCTTCGCCAACTATTTCGTTCTTTTGCTTATGTAAGTAGAATCTTGTCTCCACCTAGATCCTTAACATTAACTGGGAAAATTAGGACTGGGATTAGAGATTTCCAAAAACAAAAACAAAATTCTAGGGCTAAAATCTAGAATGGGAAGTTGAAACAAGATTCCAGAAGTCAACCATTTCCGTGTGGTTGTCAAGAAAATTACATGGGCACGAGCTTCACACAAATAGATATTTATTTTTATATTAAGTATGCCTAGAAATTTTGGCAGGCAACAGGAATGGATTTTTTTTCTCATCAGCGTTTACATGCAGAATTCCTGATTTATGCAATAGGGTTGTTAGTTAGCTTATATTTTAGCAGCTTCAAAAATAAATTGTAGAAGAACACATTTTAAAAATCATAAAAATGTTCAGACTTAAGTATTTTCAGCCTGGGCACATAGCGAGTTACAATCCCATGTGCTCACATATACCCTGATGCTAAGACTACAAATAATAGTCATATGTTTTGTAGCATTTCCGGAGAGTAATTTGGAATACAGCCTTTTTGCCCTCTCTCCTGTCTTTTGACATAATTGCTAAATGCTTTGAAATGCTCATATTTTTTTAAAGATTGGAAGATGTTTAAGGGGGAGGAGAAGGTATGGGCAAAACCCATATCTCAATAGGTAATTCTCCTGCCTTGTTGGCCAGAGAAGGCCCTTGACTTTCATAATTGTTTTTCTAAAAATCATTTTGGAGATGTTAGATAAAAGAAGCATGAATAGGGTGAATTTGTTCTCACTTTTACCAGCTCAGTATGGCTGGATGGCAGGGCAGCTTAGCCTTGCAAAACATTGTAGGTTTTCTTTTCAGAAAAGGAAACAGGACATGAAGATGATTAGCTATAGCAGGTTTAGATTAAAATATGATTAAAGGCCACTCTGTCTACCGATAAAGCCTGTGACTGCTCAGCATAGAATATGGAATATATTGCCTACAATATATTTTGTATATATTGTATTTATTAAACCTTCTTCATGAGTGCAGGATGGCTTACAAACAATATTAAAAGAAATGCATTGGAAAACAAGCAGTAGTAAAACTACAAAACAGAACAAGAGACAAATAAGAATCACATTTGCTATCAATGGAATTATCAAGGTAAATCTGCCCTGGCACCTAAATTATGGCATCTGGGAAGAGAATTCCAAAGGCTGGAATTTTCCAAGTAGCTTTTCTCCAAGACTGAGGAACCAGATCTCGGAAGGTTATTTGTATTGCCAGATCGGATCCTATATGATAGAAGAAGCCTTATCGGATATGTTGACAAAATAAGTTATCATGTTCTTTTTCTTAAGTAGGTTTTCAGCAGTCCTATGAAGATAACTTAAAAATGGGCAAGCAAGACCTGGTTAAATTTCCAAAAGAAGAGTTCCACAGGATTTCGAGTTGTCAGGGCCATGGTTACAGCTGCAAGACTGCTGTTTTTTTATCCCCTTAGTGAAAATTTTCAAATAAAAGCTTACACTATGGGTGGAAGCTGTAAAATCCATTTCTTGATACAACATTTGGGTTTCCTTGGCCTAAATTTGATTGTAAATGTATAATGCACGTACTCCTAAATTTGTATTTGTTGGTTGTCTTGGTTTAGAAGTAAGTCACTTCTTCCAAACAATTTCTCCTTCCCAAGGTATTTATTCCCAAGACAGCTCTTAATACGCCACTTCTGGACTCCTAAACAACAAGCTGAGTTTCTGAACACTTACCACAATATGAGGAGGGAGGCATATACTGAAGTGATTGATGGACTAACACATCTATCTCACTTCCTAGATGATCCTCAGCTTCGCCAACGGATGCTCTATCTCTGCGAAAAGGTACCTCTCTCTCCAAAAATTTCCATCGACAAAGAAGCAATCCTGGATATTTTAAAGTGTTATTCTCTTTAAAAAAAAAACTTTTGCTTTTTTGTATTTAATTCTTTTTCTTGCCACAGCATAGTTCACATATACTAAGCCACTGTTTGCTTAATTATGTTTTACTAAATTGCTACTTTATTTTATATTGCAATCCAGGTAGTCCTCAACTTACGGCAATTGAGGCCAATATTTCCATTGCTAAGTGAGGCTGTTAAGTGAGTTTTGCCTCATTCTGTTATCGTTTTGCCACAGTTGCTAAGTGAATCCTGTCATTTAAGAAAATCTGTTTTCCCCCATTGACGTTGCTTGTTGGAAGCTGGCTGGGAAAGTTACAAACGGTGATCACACGACCCTGGGATAATGCACGTGTCATAAGTGCATACCAGTTGCCAGATGTCTGGATTTTGATCATGAGAATGTGGGGATTCTGCAATGGTTGTGTGAAAAGTCAGTTGCTTCAGTGCCGTTGTAACGTAAAGCAGTCACTAAACAATTGTAATTGAGGACTACCTGTACACTCTTGCAATAGTTGGGTTCAGAGATTGTGCTAAACTAGGAACAAGTAGGCCACATCTTGTACAACATGTGAACAAAACTGGAGAATCACTTCCCTGCATCTTTTCTAAAGCATAAGGAAACACTTCTAGAAATTGCTCTTATACAAGATACATTTTTCCATTAATATGCATGCAGGTGAGTCTGTGGCCAAGTGGACAGACAATCCTATATACTTCAGCTCATGTAGGCAAAAGCGTAAGAATGTTTCAGTTATTTAGTGATTTGACACTGTTGAAAAGACACTGTGTAGATGCACTCATAATGCTTTAGGAAAATAATGTCAGCATACATTATACTGGAAAGAAACAAATAAACATATTCTGATAGCATCTAGTTTTACATGCTGCAATTGTAAGGAGGTACCAACCAAGGTGGGTTGGGAAGACTTTAATATTCACATTTTCTGATGCAATGAAGCAGAATTTGGTTAAATGGTAAAGAAGAGCCTGGTGGGAAGAGGCGTGAACACTTGTGGTAGTTGGTTTAGTTGTGCACAGGATCAGATCCTACTTTATACTTGGAAAAATTGCTTTTCTGTTTCTTAATCTCCAAGGTTCAGGAAGGATTTCATCCAGATGTAACAGAACTTAAAGCTGTGAGGACTTTATTTGTGGGGCATCCCTTTGGTATCCAACAGCTCACGGTTCAGCATGTGGTAGGTGCCTTTTAAGGAATGAAATTAAGCTTTAAGAGCCTTGGTGACGCAGTGGTTAAAATGCAGTATTGCAGGCTAACTCATTGCTCACTGTCGGGAGTTCGATCCTGACCGGCTCAAGGTTAACTCAGCCTTCCATCTTTCCAAGGTCAGTAAAATGAGGATCCATATTGTTGGGGGCAATATGCTAACTCTGTAAACTTCTTAGGGCTGTAAAGCACTATGAAGTGATATATAAGTGCTATTGCTATTGGTATTTAATCAAAGAAAACATCCAACTTTGTATATCCTTGGAAACCGCTTTTAAATCTTGTGTTTGAGACAGAAAAAAAAAATGAAACTTTGACTTTGGGATTTGCTAATTAGATAAGTTTCTTGTTAAAGTAATGGCTAGTAGAGGCTGTAATGTTTTTATTCTACTGCCCTGGAAAGAGTTGGAAGTTATTGCTTTTTTTTCTTTTTGCTTCTTTCCCTTTCTCCCACTTTTCTCTCTCTCTTCCTCCCCTTTCCCATTTTCCTACTACTATCTTTATTTTCACTTGTATATTTTTATAAGTTTAATAAAATTATAATTAAAAAAAGGAATGAAACTGGTAACTGCTTAAAAGCCTAATTTATGATGAATCTGTTACTACCATTTGCTCTTTCTGCTCACATGCTTTAGCTGAAAGCCTTGAAAAACCAGAAAATTAAATCTCTCCCCACTTAAAAAAATCTTAAAACTCCCATATTCAGTAATGGCTTGGATTTAAGTGAGGATGTGATTGCATCTGCCACCATTGTTCATCCTTACTGCCTTGTCCACAGGCTAATTTTTTTTCAGAAATGGAGACTCAATGGTAAAACATTTTGATCTGAAAGCCCTTGTGTGTTTTAATGCTATCTTTGCCTTGTTTTCCTCAGAAAGTTCTCAGTCGTGTTTTGTTCCTGACGCCTCGCCTGCCGTCTTTCTTCCTGAGAAATCGCTTGAGGAGCCATCTCTCTGAGCTGCATTATCTGGACCAAGCAATGGTGAAACTAGGAGTAAGCCAGCTGACTGAAGAAGAACTGCAAGCGGTAAGATGATTGGGGTTTGCAGTTAACTGGGGACTAATTACTATTCATCTGCTGCCTTAATCCTCACAAGCACTGGGCACGTTACAAATGAGTAAATAGTGAAAGTTACCAGTCTCAAAGCCAATATAGACTTTCTATGACCTATAACAGGGGTAGGCAACCGTGGCTCTTTTATGACTCGTGGACTTCAACTCCCAGAATTCCTGAGCCAGCCATGCTGAGGGGAAAGGGAGAGGTTTCCAAGCTGAGCCATGCTGGCTCAGGAATCCTGGGAGTTGAAGTCCACGAGTCATAAAAGAGCCAAGGTTGCCTACCCCTGACCTATAATGTGATGGCTTATTCAACAAACCAGGTATAAATTAGTTTAGCATATTGTGGACACTATCTTACCTTGCTTTTAGTTGTGCAGGAATGCTGGGAAGAATGGAGGGGTATGTCTCCCTATCCATCTTTGCAGCTGAGAGATTCTCTAGGCATATAGACAACATTAAGAGGGATTAGCTTCTTCTCCCAATGGCCCTAAGTGTACTGATTTTTAGCCTGTCAAAAATATCAGTAAAATTCCAAAGGCCAAGCTCCATTTGGGGCTGTATGCAAGTTGAGGGCTATATGCCTCTGATCTAGAGCATTGTATGTCAAAGCAGGGCATCGACTAATGGAACACCAACACGGCCGTGTCTTGGATTCAGTGATTCTTTGTAAAATGAAAGCATCTTGCTGCATTCCAAGGGGTCCCTCTGATTTTTGCAGGCGTGCTATACCCGTGGCTTGAATTCCGTTCATCTTGATCCAGATGATTGTAGGGTCTGGTTGAACCAGTGGCTATCGCTCTCCTGTTCACTAAGAGGTAAGATTGGCTGAACTATTGGAAGGAGGATTAGTATTAACAACTATTCTGGAAAATTTCTCCCATCAGAATGCACACACACACCCCTCCCTGCCTAACTAGGTGTCTGTGGAAATAAAACCTAAAAAAGGAGCTAACCATAGATAAATCAAGAATATTAAAGTAGAATCTCTTAATAATTAAAACTATTATTGCTGAGTTAGTGTCACAAACTGTACTGATCATAAGCCATACCACAGTGAGATACATAATACATGTAGTCCTCAATGATATTTGAGATTGGAATTTCCATCACTAAGTGATGTCATAAAGCAATGTCATGTGACCGCATTGCTTAGCAAAGGCAATCCTGGCAACCCTGTTGCCATCGTTAAGCAAGGACTTCTCGCTGGTTTCCAGCAACCAGTCAGTGGGGAAGCCGGCAGGAAGTTGCAAGTCGCACATAGCTCATAAGCAGGCCAGCGGACAGCTAAGCGGCAGCTGGGAAAGGTTGTGTGGGTGACAAAAGTGGCTGCTGCCACGTGGAGGTGTGTACACAGGGGGCCAGCACAGTGCCAACCCACTGCAGCTGGCTGCTGCTGAATGGAGGAGACTTACCCCAGCAACACGCAGTCTTCCCTGCCGGCTTCTTCATTGCCTTTGCTTGTGGAAAGCCACAGGGAAGGGTTGCAAACGATCATGTGCCCATGATGCTGCAACCATCATTAATGCAAGACGGTTGCCGAGCGCTCAGTTTACAGTGACACGGCACAGAGAGTGCTGGGGCAGCCAGAATACTGACTGGTCGTAAGCTGACTCATTTCAGTGCTGTTGTAACTCTGATGCTGAATTAGTGGTTTTTAATCAAGGATTACCTATAGAAAAAACTTGGGATTCGGAAAGTCAGATAAGTAGTATTGTATTGTATACCACACAGCAGAAGAGAATTTCTTTGGGATATTAGCTTGGTATTACTGGGATGAAAAACCTTAATTTTCTGGAGTTCCAGTCAAGGAAATTCTCTGCAGTGGTAAATGTCAGACATTAAACAAGCAACTCTGAAAGAGGTTGGAAAATTGTGGTGGAAAATGGGGTTTCTCCTAACAATCCAGAAATATATAAGTAATGCAGGTAGTCCTCGACTTACAATCACAATGGAGCCCAAAATTTCTGTTGCTAAGCAAGAAAGTTGAGTTGTGCCCTGTTTTGTGACCTTTTTGGCCATCGTTGTTAAGCAAATCACTGCAATTGTTAAGTGAGTCATGCGGCCATTAAACGAATCTGGCTTCCCCCATTGACTTTGCTTGTCAGAAGCTGTGGGGGAGGTTACAAATGGTGATCACATGCAGCTGTCAAGCACAGTTGTCAAGTGCCTGAATTTTGATCATCTGACTGGGGATGCTGCAACGGTCGTGTGAAAACTGGTCATCAATCACTTTTCAGTGCTGTCATAACTTCAAATCATAACTGAATGGTTGTAAGTTTGAGGACTATTTGTATCCATATATATTGTCAGCGGAGTTCTTGGAATGCTTTATCTCATCTAGTCTCCATTTAACTGTTTCAATTTTGTGTGCATAGTATTTAAGATGGATCATTATAACATTTAACTCGGGCTAGGTGATATCCTGCACTTTTGAGTGCTCTTCTGCTTTAGTTTAATAAATGACACAAAATGAAAATCTCTGTTTCCATTCTTAATAAAATCTAAGGCTTCTGACCAGATTAAAGTCTTCAAAGATCAAAATCCCAAGTGAAGAACCCAGTTAAGGAGAACTTAGCTTATTTTGGTGTCTTTTATACCCTCCTATCTCATTAATATGTTCTCTGATCATTTGTCCCTGATCTCCATTTTTCTTCATGTCTTATTTAATCTTATAATAGTGATTTTTTAAAAAAGGAAACTCATTATATGTTCAATTGCCAGTTTGACCCTATGTTTTTGGATATGTGATACTTTGTGTGGCAATACAAACTCAAAAAAGAGAAGAATTCCAGTCATTTACACTCTTAAAAGTTGTTAAAGGAGAGGAGTATACAACACAAAAAATAAAGTTTGGCTGAAAAATACACAACTAATACTTCTGTAGGCTTGGTTATGCAGAGGATAAAAACTTGTCACATTTTATTTCTTGAAATACACAGTCCACATTCTTGTTCAGGGAGGTATAAAGTGGTTAAGCCTTTTTAAAAAAATAGATGTAAATAATTTAACTGTGAAAGGCATCTAACTGAAATAGTGCAAAGCAGTATACCAGTATCATGAAGAAAAAACTCAACTGTAGCTGATCCCCACAAAAGTTTTAACTAATTCAAATATACTACTTTGGGGCAACATGGGCCATTTCTCTATGTAATGAGTATCAAATTGTGGTGGGAATTTGTCATGTCAGAAGTTGTGATGCCGCTACAAATAAAAGTTAATAGAAACAAATGGACTGATGCATTGCAAGGATGGGGGGGGGGGGGCACAGAGAAGATTGTTGTAAATAGAAAAATTCTTAAGACTGTACTACCAGGAAAGATGAGTGTGCTGGCAGTAAAAATAGTGAAGTTCTTAAGTGTAAAAACATAGCAAAATTGTGTTTAACCTTCTGAACCAAAATAATTTATGTTTAAAATGGGCTTTCTCAGATTTATTGAGGATGCAGTAAATGAAGCAGATAAGTCTTGTTCTTCCTAATCTTCCAGAAGGGGTCATTCTAAACTGAGGTTGTCTCCTTCCTATTTCTATGTCAGAACAGCTGTTTGCAATCAAAATTAACAGTGTTAAAATGTTTATGAATATAATCCAGTGCAATAGAAAGCTATTATTTTTTCAGATTCTGAGACTTCGCTCTTGGCACATGCGATGGTTTTACTTTCTACCAACTTCACACCTTCCTCTAAGAGCTAACCGGAAACAACCCCTTCTGGATTATTGAATATATGCTGTATATTGACTTTTGGCTGAACCAGAAAGGGGAATACATTTTCTTCTCACTGACTCAAAAAAAAAAGGGGTGGGTGGGTGGGAAGGCAAGAATCCAGCAGAAGAAACTCCAGTGAATTTGTTAGTGTAGAGGTGACACTAGAAGAAACATGGAAAAATGAATAAAATTACCCCACTTTTTGGGGAATTTTGAGAGAAGACAATTGCTAAGCTAGCACAACAAAATACCTCTGCGGTATATTTCACCAACTTTGCATTTAAGCCTGGTTCAGTTATGACCTCACAGGCCCCTATCTTGGGTTGTCAGAGTATAATGCAGGGTTGTTCAGACTTGTCAGTCCAAAGTCTTGTAGCTAATGCTTGAGGCAAACTCTTCTGCTGGAGAGACACATCTACTCCTTCAAATGGCTACAATGAAGTTTGTTTCATATTAGCCAGGAAGCGGTGCAAATATAAAAAAGAATGAATAGTTGCAGAATACACATTCTGCAGAACACAATGCAGCTTATTTGCTAAATGTACACTATTACCACTTTCTATGATTTCAGTCTTGCCAGCTGAAGGGGAGGAGATTCACATACATGTCTTAATGTTTTGTTTCTTCCATCCCTTTTTTCTTAAAATGTTCCAGGGACTGTATTTCTCTCCAGTTGCAATTGTTAAGAGGGAATAGGATGGAAATGTTAAAGAGGCCAGTATTGAAGCCTCTCTCCATCTGGCTGTATTACCCACACCCCACAGACACATACATATCCTTTTTCTCCTTTTTTGATGCTGATTTTGTAGGACTTAGTGGTAAAGGCCCAAGGCAGCAAAAGACTGGGAGGGCACAGCTGAGAGAGCACCGTTCACCCCTATCAAAAGGGAAGACTCAATCTTCTGTGGTCTCTCAGGGGCCATAAGATTGCAGGGTTTTGTTTTTTTTTAATTATGAAGCGTAGCAGACTTGAAAAATCCTTTTGGGGATGGGATGGGAAGGAGAGGATAAAAAAAAAAGACTGTATGTTGTATACCAGAAGCTGGTATTCTGGATGGAATGTGTAAGCTGAGGAAGTCTCTATTTGAGCTAATCATAAAATGTGTGAGAAATTTGTATATTACGTGTATTTTACTTGAAAAATAAATGTTTACCATTAAAGATGGCAAGATGGCTAACAGTAAAAAATGATTGATCTTTTAATTGTGGAGTCTTGAAGTCATTCTATTAACATATCACTATTATGACTCCCCGAGCTTGAGTAATAAATTACTGGAGTCACTAAAGCAGGAATAGGCAACCTTGGCTCTTTTATGACTCATGGACTTCAACTCCCAGAATTCCTGAGCCAACCACGCTGAGGGAAAGGGAGAGGTTTCCAAGCTGAGCCATGCTGGCTCAGGAATTCTGGGAGTTGAAGTCCACGAGTCATACAAGAGCCAAGGTTGCCTACCCCTGCACTAAAGCTATTCATGTTTTCCCCTATAAAGTAACCAATGACCACTAAGATCATGACCCAAGTCTTTGTTGTGTACACCTTACTCCAAGTAATATGATCAGTCTTTTTGAAAGAAAATCTATGCAAGGGAATAAACCCCTTGATGCGTGAGAAGTATTTTCCATAAGGTTTCACTATGAGAGAAATTGACAGATTTGTCAGAAAGCAAAATTAAGTCAAACTGCAAAAACTACCTTAGAGGGTGACATCTACAATGATCCAATGCAGAATCTCCCCGTTATGATGAAACATTGCACATACTTTGATACTGTTTAGTTCCTTTAGACAGAAATGATTGTTTTACAAATGCAGACTCTGCAAGTATTAATCATGTTGCACTTTGGCTAAAAGCAGTTGTGAAAAATACCAGAAAATGTGCGTGTACACCGAGTCTGTAACTGAATAGAAGGCAGCTACAATTTTGAGAACAAAATTCACTTAATGTAAGTTTACGCATTTATTTGTTTTTACACTTAAATATCCTCTTTAAATACAGCATTATCACAATGAAAAGAACATAAGAGGCAAAACAAAATGTAAAGGACCTGACAAGCTTTGGATTCACATTGAAAATGCCACCTGTGTATTTCCTGCAGGAAAGCAGAGTTATGAAGTTTATCAGTTGCAAGTGACAAGAGGACAGGGCTAATACCAATTATATCAGACCAGGGCTTCATTAATAGAAGTCTCTTCCAGGTAGTAAAAGGGCTGTCCTGTAAACAGTTCAGTAGCACCAAAAGAAGGGAAGGGAAGGGAAAACAGGTGAATGTACCACCACATCAGAGTAAGAAAGATAGTTTTGTTACTAATAACAAAAGGGAGACAGGCAAGAGGAATAGGCCTTTTTGCATTAAAGAACATTCTTTAAAACAAAAGCTTTCTAAGAAGCCCAGCCTCTACTACAGGATTTAGAAATAAAATTCTGTCATTTGAGATCAGTGCCCTTTCTTTTTTCATAATGCTCAGGAAGGAGTGTCTTTTTTTTTCTAGCCACTTTTCTGCAAATAGCTATTTAATGTCTTTTTCTGTCATAACTAAGCACTCTCATGGAAATGAAAGCCAGTGTAACATTTAATAGTTCAGATGCTATGCTGAGTTTCTGTTTTCTTCCCTGCTGTCTCCACCTCTGGGTAAGAATGTAGTATTGTAGTACTTGGTTTCTACCAAGCTATTGCATTAATCATTGCATTCCAGAATGTCAGTCACGAGAAATGTTTCTGCACTATAAAAATGGAATCCTGGTATTTAAGTGTGAAGCTGCTTCCATTTTCAGAAATTGTATTCCACCAAACCATCTGTCAGTATTGGCAGGTGGCCAAGGGGTGCAACAGCTTAAGCACTCAACAGGAGGAGATTCTTATTACTGCCAGATCCACAAGAATTGAGGTAAGCCCCATTTAAAAACTTGATTCTAGAGCTGATCATGCCCAATCCCCAGAATAACACCATGCAGTTAAAGACAGCAAAGCCTCTGGCTTTAGCCACTTACTTTAGAGAATATCTGCTACACAATAGTTCCTAATACAGGGCTATAAAGAGTATAGCTGGAACAATGGAGGAATAATATAGGGAAAAGACAAGTGCATCTTGTCCTGAAACAAACCTACAGCTACCTATGTCACTGTAGTTGTGTAAAAAAGCAATTATGGGGTCAGTATTATAAATACCCAAGGTGCTTTCAAATAGAGAATTTTATAATGCCTTTTCTTTGACCTAGATACCTACAAAGCTATATATTCGATGTAGGAGGAAATTTTTCTATTCTGTTTGATTCAGATGCGAAGAGCACTAAATTTGCTACAGTGAGAGTTGCATCTGGAATCAGCTGCCTTGAAAATAAATCTAGCCTTTTATAGCACCATTTGTTTTGTAAACTACAAATGTGAGAATTAGGAAAGACACCAATGGACCCTCAAATCCAGGAATAGTCTGGGGGTAAAGCAGCATGGAATAAAAGCCTAAATACCCCCTCAGGAATGAGACCAGTGTATAGGAAGGAAGGTGTGTGTGTGTGTGTGTGTGTGTGAGTGAGAGAGAGAGAGAGAGAGAGATGCAACAAGGTGTGTGACTTTAAAGACAAAAGGACATTTTAAGGCTGCACATTCATCTTACATTTTAAAATGTACAAAGGAGACATTTGCCCACTAAACATGGCATTGCTTCTAAACAATCCCCTGAAAGAGGTAGTGATGAGAAAGCAATTAAGTAGTTAGTAGTCTGGCAAAGTACAGGAGCCCTGGCTGCGTACTATGGGCTAATCGGCACAAAGAGAGCTTGAGTGAGCTAAGGTGAAAATCAGACAGGAGTCTAGTACTGAAGTCTTTGCATCTCTTCTGAAGCCTGGAATGGGCTGAAAGGGTGTTACATGTCAATAGTCTTTCTCTGCTGCCGCCTACACAGCATTTGCTTGTGTTTACTTTATCTTACACGGAGTCGCTTTCGGGAGAATAGGCTTTTCTGGATGCGCTGGCAGCACTGATTGCTCATCACTGATCGTTAACAGCCAAGAATGTTAAAGTTAAGACTTGGCTTGTTCTGCCTACTCCCAAGCAGCTTTGCAATTAAGGGACGTAAGAAGCCCAAGCCTGTTAAAGCTTTCCAGATTCAGCATCTAGAAACTTACGTGGCCCAGCTTTTATATAGACCTAGTTATATGCCTGAAAAGCACAAACAGCTATTTAAGTTCTCATGGTGCCTGTATTATTTCTCAGCTGGGAGGTAGGTTTTGATGAGGATATATATATATATCCCTGGCAAAGGCTACTTAAATCCCACCCTCTCTTATGCATAAGGAGTTATGGGTAACTGAATTACCCAGAAGCTTTTGTGCAAGTCATTGTTAAGTCTTGAGCAGTCTGAAAAAAGAAAGATTCCTAAATACAGGGAAACCAGTTCTTGCTAAGCCCCAGCCCACGTAAGAGATAATACCACAGGGCTGTAATATGAGCTGGGTCAGAACAGGTGACGACAGAGAAAGGCAATGATTATCTGCTGTTTACTAGAAGGTAGAAGAAGAAAAGGATGCTCCGGTAAGCTGGAAGAGAAAAGTGCTTTTGTTATCCTAGATTGGTCAGAGGGCCGAGTGGCAGCTTATAACGGCGTCCTTTCTCCCTTTATTCCAAGACCAATTGGAACAATTGACACACTTCACTGGGAGGGGGATTGCAGGTGCCACCTTATTGCACATTTACTGACCCCTAATGCTTGTGACCCAGCAGGCTGCAGTTTTACTGCACACAGACTCCGTGCCCTTTCAAGTCATCCAGAATGCTAGGTTGCTAAGCAAGGCGCAAGGGGACAGAAAGCTTTCAACATCACCTCCAAATTCTTGTGCAACTAGAGTGGAAAAGACCGAGACAGTGAAAAGGGAAAACTGATTCGTAAAACCATGAGGCAAAAGGTTAAGTACTTTGTAGAATTCTCTGCCCACCCAAACTGGCAGTTATTTTCAGAGGAAAATTGGACCCCACCTGATCCAAGGGCATTCAGTGTTTACAGAATCAGATCCCCAAAAGGGTTCTAATTGGATCACCTCTGATTGCAGCTCAGGATCAGAGAGTCAGTGACACGTCTTAAGTCACATCATGTCTGTAAACATTCAGCATTTTTTTTTAAAAAAAGTTAATTTAAACTTAAAATCAGTTCCCAGCCAAGGCCAGCAAAAAGGGCCCGTGAACATGTTTGGGGGAAGCTACTGGCAGGCGTAGGGCAGAGGCTCCAGGATGAAAATTATTTTGTACGACAGTTGCATGCCAAACTGTAGGTGTAAGCTAGTCATGATCAAAGTTAATTCGTAGTGAATTTAAAAAATATATGGGATCCTTCCAGGGAACGAAGGGCAGCAAATGTCACATAAATAAGAGGCTGCAGAGCTTAAGCTGTGTAACTGGTTAGAGCAGTTCAAGCAAGTAAGGTCACCGTTACCAAGACACAGCACTGAAAGTGACAGAAAGGGATGGGCGGCGGCGGCAGCAGCAGCTTCACTTGGGATCAGCAACTGGAGGGAGAGATTCCACCACGCATAGAGACTGATTGACGTCATGAAGTAGCAACAGCGTGTTCTCTTCTGCCTGCCCTCCAACCCATCCAGCACTTTAGAAAAGGCAGCTTTGCTCTATTGCTTCCATGAGACACATTCACGTTTGGTCCTTGTAGGATGGAGTCAAGGCCTCCCCCCCTACAAAGTTCCATCGCCTATGGGTCCAACCTCTTCAGAACCAGGAGGCTGCCCTACTGGGTGGACAGGCCCTCCTACTCTGAGGCAGCCGTTAAGTGCTCAGTTTTAGGTCCTTATATGGTGGAGCCCACACAAAGCAGCCCCCTCTCCTTTCCCTCCCCCACCCAATATCAAAACAATTCCCAATGGCTGTGGCCATTTGATAAAAACCTTTTGTCAATAAATAAACATCAAGATGATGGGTTGGGAATTGTCACACGGTCAGAGGAGGGCCCAAAGAGCTTTCCTCAGAAGAGGGGAGCTCGCAGGCCCTCTCTGGAGATTGCGGCACCATGTTCTGGGGCCGCAAACTGTCTTGTGGCACCTCTGTGTGGAGTGGCAAGCTTGGCAGAGGAACTTCAGGCTGACAGCTTTCAGAAGACGGGGGCTCAAAGGGTACAGCAGCCTTCCCTGTTTCTACACTGCTGGTGGCTGTGGCTCTGCCACAAGACACCAGTGAAGTCACAGGGACAGAGTAGATGCTTAGCTCCTTCTCCTCTGTGTAACGAGGGGTCCCCTCAGGCTCCTCTGCTCTATTTTCCCCCTTCACCCCCAGCACTGACCTTTGGTCAACCTGATAGTACACAACAGGCCCATTGTTCAAGTAGGGTTGGCTGCCCTCAGCTGAGCTGGCTTGCTCAGAACTGTCCGTGAAACACAGAACAGAGGAACCTGGTGGCAGCTGAGCTTGAATGAGGATTGGCGTGGCGAGGCTTGGGCACATCCCTTCGGAGACAGAAAGCGGCTCCTCCAAAATGCACACCCCCAGGCTTTCCATGCTGGAGCCACTGCTAGAGTCTTCCTCAGCCTTCAGCCGCTCCAGCTCCTCAGCTGTCTGAAGATGCATGACTGCCGTTTCATTCTCCGCCATGAACTCCTGGAAATCCTGGGTCTCTGGCGACTGGCTTCCCAGCCAGTCACTGCCGGAGCTATGAGGGGTCTCTTCATCCAGAGTCTGGGCCCGGCTCACCTGCCGTTTATTCTCTAGCTCTAGTTTCATAATGGTGTGCAGGTAGTGAGTCCTCACCCGGATGGGATTGAATTCAATTCTCCCAGCCATATTCCCACAACCATCTCTGGAACAGCCGCATGGGAAGGACATTCGGTCCACCTAGGTGGGGGAAGCGAAGGACAGTGAAAACTGTGCCTGTGTGAGAACTGAGGAAGTGAATGGAAGGATGAAAGCTTGGCTAAAGTGAGAGCAAGTGAACAGATGGGAAATTAAGTCAGATGGAAAAATGTAAAATCCAGGTAAGCTATTATTAAAAAAACGACTGGCCAGATAGCCCTCAAGCAACCCAGAATCCCCCGTTCAATTATTTCCCCCCCAGTTAACCTACCTATAAATCTTGTTATTTCAAGGAGAAATCAAAAGAAATAAAGAATGGCCTGGAGTATGTCTGATTCGATCTATTGTGAAAGATAGAGTGTGCTCTTTGACACTTCATTTATCAAACGATCAAATGCTCTTTTCAGGATAAAAGCACTTTCAGGAAGGAGGATCTGAAATCCTTTACCAGAGCTAGCCATTTAGTATGCAAAAGATAGGGTGCAAAAGAGGCAGAGAAAGTGAGAGGGAATGACTTTGCCAAGAAAATATTAAGAGCAGAAATGCCAGTGCACACATTCCATGGAAAAAGCAAAATGCTACTGATGAGAACAAAGCAGAGCATGAAATCCAGTTCTGGAGGCATCACCCAGCATCTTAGATGTTGGGAATCAAAACTGAGGCAACTAAGACTTCCTGTCTTTTGACTTCTAGATTCTGAACATCCTTTTGCCTCTTCGTTTTGTCTTAAGAAGCAAAATAACTGTAAATCAAATACTAAGAAAATATGGTTAAAATTGCACAAATGCGGCATAATTTATGTTAACATTTGAGCAGGTCCTTTCAAGCACTTGTTTCATAGAGCAGCCAATAGAGGGAAGCAGAAGAATGGTGGATCCCACACGTATAACCACGGTGATTTCACATCATCCTGGAAACCTAGTGCTACTTTCCTCAAGACCTTTCCCCATGGCTGCATCTTGCCACCTGTTTTTCTCCCACAAACTCAAGCAGGATCTTCCCTCCCGAATTAATTCACTTCTTTTTTTTTTTTTTAACTTGGAGCATCCAAGGGGGACAATACATCCTGTCACCCCTTAAGACCTTTGTAGGTGGGCAGAGGAGAGCTCTCTTTAAATCACCTCTTACAGGCTGGGACTCAACACATGACATAAGGTTTGAGTGGACCCCTCGCCATATCAAAAAGACACACAGGCAACAGGAGATACAGTTCAGGCCAAAGCCTAGCGGTTTCTTCCCCACTGACCTGGCATTTAATTCCAGCCTGGCTACAGGCACAGGCCTCAGGGTCACAGTACAGCCGGCAGTCGCACCCACATTCTTCCCGTGAGAGGCGGATGGCCCGAAGTTCTTGTTTTTCTTCTGCATCGATGCGATGGACACCAGAGGCTCGAAGTAGAGCTCGCCGCCGCTTGGTAGGCAGTGGCTGTAAGAAGAAGTAGTCATCCACCTCCACGTTCTCTACATCGAGGTCATCATCTGAGACGTCCTCAAGGGTCAAACCATCAGCCTCTTCTGACTCCACAGTTCCGTTCTTGGTCAGCTTAGGGGAGGGTGTGGGAAAGAACAGAGAACACACAGACACACACACCAGCAAAGTTAATCTCGAAATTGAAATCCCATCAGTTTTCAGTCTGGAAAAAAAAAAAAAGACAAATGATTTCCCTGAGTTTAACTGGGCTGCAAGGGTCACCCATTCCCTCCAAATAACCGATTCCTCCCGAGCTGTGAGTTTTGACAGTGATGCAGCTTTCTGCACTGCCAAAGCTGGAGTGACCCCAAAGCTTGCTCTGTTCTCCCTGAACAAACTGCCTTTTATCTTGTCTGGACAGAGAGGGAGCAAGTTCTAACAGCAACCCAGCTTTATATGCAGAGGCCAGAGCACCGTTAGTTCATGTTCTGGCCTTTTCTTTCTCCTTTGCCTGCACAACCCAACATCCAGAGAAAATGGGAGTAAATTCTGACAGCGGCTCACCTTTGCACATTGCAAGCCTTCAACCTACCACACAAGCCATAGCCTTGTTAGAAAATATGGGCTTTGTTTGATCAAACCAGCTGTTGGGTTGTGCAGGCAGATCACGATCAATTAAAGAATGGTAGTGTAGTTCTTTGCAAATTCCTTAGCTCCAAGCCCACCCCTTTTTAACCTTTATCCAACCCATCCGTCCTTAAAATCGGCACCTTCAAACAGAATGATATCAGAAGGAGATATGTATTTCATTTAGCTTATTTGAGGTGGGAAATTTCAAAACATGTTTTGAACAATAGTAACCTCCATACAACTCTGTACTGTAGATCTCATTTCCTCCCCCCCCCCAAGATTCAGAGGATATACATATAGATGCCTATAGAGTAGCACATTTTTGAAGCCAAAATCCCACGTTTGAATTTGACATTTCTAGATAGTGGTATCTAAAAGCAGGAGGAATCCTTTCTTATCGGTGTAGATCAGGGGTAGGCAACTTGGGCTCTTTTATGATTCGTGGACTTCAAATCCCAGAATTCCTGAGCCAACATGGGTCAGCTTGGAAACCTCTCCCTTTCCCCTCAGCATGGCTGGCTCAGGAATTCTGGGAGTTGAAGTCCACGAGTCATAAAAGAGCCAAGGTTGCCTACCCCTGGTGTAGACCATAATACTTTAAATTTTTCACTTGGACAAATTTTGTGTTATATTATTTACACAGTGAATATAGGTAACTAGTCCTCGAGTTACAACCACATGTTTGGCAACCATTCAAAGGTACAATGGCATTGACAAAAGTGACTTATGAACGATCCTCACATTTATGCCTGCTGAAACATCCCACAGTTATGTGATCGCATGACTTGGGCAACTGGCATGTATTTATGACAGCTGCAACATCCCAGGGTCATGTGATCGCCATTTGCGACCTTCTCCGCCAACGTCTGACAAGCCAAGTTGATAAGGGAAAGCAGATTCGCTTAATGACAGCAAGTTTCACTTAACAACTGCAGTTGATTTCACTTAACTGTGGCAAAAAAGGTAGTAAAATCAGGTAACAGCCGCTATGTTTAGCAACAGAAATTCTACTCCCACTTGTGGTTGCTAGTCCAGCACTACCTGTACACTTGGCAGAACATTAAAAAGCAAGAAAAATAAAATAAAATAAATACAGTGTCTGTTTTGAGTGGGAAGCAAAAAAAAAAAAAAAGATCTGAACCATGGGCTACCTCAGACATGTCAAACTGCTGGCCCATGGGCCAGATGCGTCACAGCGAAACCGCGCCCACCCCATTGCCGGCAATGGGGAAAAAGTCCTGATACGTCGTGCGACATCACGTGATGTTGCGAGTTTGACATGCCTGGGCTACATGGAAGCAGTATGTATATCTTTACCGGAAAAAGTCAGGAGTTATTCTTTTTGTAGCTCTTTCCCTCATTGACTGCAATCCCAATTTTGCTTTTTTTTTTCCCCTTCCCCTTTTTGCCCCCTTCCCCTTATTTTTTTTAAAAATGTATTTATTTGGTTTTTATACCCTGTCTAAAATGCAATAAAAATTAAAAATTAAAAAAGGAACACTCGTGGCAAAAACAAGGCAAGCAGTAGTAGTATTTCATCAGAGCAGCCATGGTATTACAAAGGGCCATTCCTGAGAGACATGATGCAACACAGCTGAGGACTGAGGTGAGCGCTAAACTCTGCTCCAGCACTGCAATCCTGTCTCCTCCATCTTCTGAGGGAAGCGGTCAGTGTGACAGGTGGAGTTTGGATTTGGGAATTCTAGAACCTTCCGGGGTCTGAGGGTGACCTTGATCCAATCATTACATCAAACTGTACTGAGACACTAAACACATTTGCAGCTTGATATTTCTTACACCAAACAGATGAGAGACGCTACAGTTCGCATTGCTGGCCATGTGGAAAGCACAGTAATCTTTCTACTGGCAGACACAGCCTGTCCTCAAGGGCAAAGCAGAAGGAACACGTGGCTGATTTGTGCCTCATACAAACACCACCCCCCAATCGTGTGCTGAACAGAGTACAAATTTGTTTCACCTCCAATCTTTGGAGGGGAGAAGACTTGTGTGAAGTTTTTTTTGGCAGAGACATGGCAACTAGAGGGAAGAAGATGCCGTAGACTGTTGTAAGATAACAAATAAGCTTCGGAAGGTGGATGAATAAGGATCAGATATGTGAGAAAGCTGAATTGCCATTAAAAATGACAAGGAGTTGTCTATAACAAATATAGAAATGAAACCTTTAAAATGTAGCCGGTAAGATCTGTAACATTTCTGTGCGCAAACAGACTGTGAAAGAGAAAAATGGATTTTCAGAATGCCGAATTCTGTGTGGAATATACAAAACACTCCTGTTTTAGAAAAGCACTTTGCATGTTTTCCATAGGGTTCAGGAACACCACTGTCATGTTACCAAAGCTGCAAGTACTTTTTTGGAATTTGGGCCAGTTACTATCTATCAGCCCAATCCACTTCTCAGGGTTGTTTTAATGGGAAAAACAGGAGGAGGAAGGTGTGTTGGATATGTTTGCTGCCTCGAGTTATTTGTAAAAATAATAAAGGTGGGAAATAATATATAAATAAATAAGCAAGGAAGCAGGCTTCTTTTCAGACACACTCCACCTCAATCTACAAGAATGATGGATTGGGGCAGTATCCAGGACAGGATGCGGATTGGGGTGGTACCCAGGACAGGATGCTCGTTCATACAACTAAAAGCACACCAAAAACAGCCACCACAGAAAAGCCAGCAAGTTAGTTAGCAAGTTTTAACCCAGATCCTTCTCTTTGATGTGCAGGTTTTCTACACTCACCTTCTGGAGAAGGTGGCATATGCATAAACAAGGGCAGATCTTATAAGGACAAACCTGTGCAGTTCCGAAACGGGTTTCCTTCAACAACTATAAGAAGTAGGCCAGAGTTGCAGGACTACCGAGTATTTGTCCTTTCTGCTAAGCTGGTTGTCATGGTAGCAAGGGAATGATTGGAACATCTTATGTTTTTTGACAGAAGCATTCAATCCAGTAAGGGAAACCCAGTTACTAGGCAACCTACAGGACACACCAACCAAGCCTAAGGAGATGGATAGAACAGGAAGCTTGCTGGAGGAGGCTAAAAGGGAGAGGCTTTCGCTGCAATTGCTGAGCCTTCTCATGAATCAACTTGACACAAAACAGAGGCTAGAAGACTGGTTGGCATCGCTAGCAGTACTTGTCTCTTGGCTGCGAGGGTTCCCCTGCTGCTGGATGGCGGGGAATCCTTAAGCTCTCCTCAGAAAGCTCATCTCTGACCCTTCCTCACCAAGCCCCAGAGGGAAAGCTCTTGTCAGGTTCGCATTCGTTCACTTCAAGAAGAAATTCTTCAATGCTCACTTTCACATTACCAGCTGCATTTCTCATATTCCAATCCAGATGGAGGGCTGTATGCAGTCTATGAAATATGGGGAAATCCAGGGAAAAATGGGCTTCAGTTTGGGGTTGCAGAATTAACATAATGGAGTAGATAGGAAAGAAAACCAAAAGGCAAAATAATTAGAACTGCGTATTTTGAATGCTATTTCTTAATAGCTTACTGCAGAGGCAGACAAGTAAAAGAGTCCAGCAAATTCACAAAAGTACCATGTGATTATCTACCGGCAGATCTTCTCTACCGCTTGCCACAGATAGGCCTGAGATGAACTAATCCAGGGGTAGGCAACCTTGGCTCTTTTATGACTCGTGGACTTCAACTCCCAGAATTCCTGAGCCAGCATGGGTCAGGAATTCTGGGAGTTGAAGTCCACGAGTCATAAAAGAGCCAAGGTTGCCTACCCCTGAACTAATCATATCAAATTGGGAAAAGGATTACAGGTGTTCAAAATCAATTCCCAACCCTGCTATATTTGCTATATATACATCACAATATGGTCACGCCACAGGACCAAAAACTCTGCAAACGAATAACCCAAAAGGACTTTTCCGCCTGCCAAAACCCTACCTTCATTTTCTTGGCATGAAGCTTCTCCTCCTTCAGGTGTTCTCGAAGGATCTCCCGGTGATTCACTTCCTGCTCTTGGGCAAATTCACCCAGGGTATACCTGCGGATAGAGTTATGCCGCTGGGCCATGCCCAGGGAACTGCCCCCTTGGCTAGGAACGCTGGTAAATCCCTGACGCCTTGCGAAGTAGTACACAGTCACCTGATCGAAGCGCACGTTCTTTCTACGCAGCTGTTTCTGCCTTTTTAAGATGGAGGTTGCTGAGATGTAAGAAAGCAAAACAGAAACACCGATTGAAAATTGAAGCAAGTGTGTGTATGTGTCTCCTTTCACACAGCCCATTTCATATTTTCTTCACGGTTACGGAGCACCCCCAGCAAATGTTGTTTGAAGAATGTGTCCTCCGCCATAGAAGCTTTCAAAATCTTCCGCATTGATATATCTGCCACTTAATTCCTAAGCACTGGACAGAATTCTCTGAGCATGTTCCAGGATATAAAGAGCGCTAGCCAAGCCTGCAGGGTTTTACTGTAGCCCTGAACAACCAAGAGTGAAATCTGTAGCCTATTTAAAATTCTGACTATGCACGGCAGAGGCATATTAGTAGTGACAGACAAGCTGTCTTTCCAGAAATCTGGGAAATACTGAAAAATCTTTAGGCTCTGTAGAAATACATTTTTCAAATGCTACTAATGGTGTAAAACAACAGGCATGGCAGTGTTTTGTCAAGTCAGGTCCTTATCCAGAGAATACTGGAGGAAGGTAGTGGATCGTTCACACACACCCAACTCATATAAAAGCATTTTTCTGCCTTGAATCCTAAGTGCTACATGGTCCTGCTAATCAAGGTATTATGGACTAATCCAGCGGGTCCCCAATCTTTCTGGCTTGGCAGCCTGGCGGAGGCGGGGGGGGAGAGGGGATGGTTCTGTATGAGCAGCAGAAGTGTGTGTGAGCAGCTCCATACGTGCAAGTGGAGTAATGGCGCGCCTGCCACTCACACAAATGGAGCTTCATGCATGTGTGCTCACGCCCGCCACTCGTGCAAGTGGAGCTGTGCGCGCGCACTCGCCCACCACTTGTGCGGCCTGGTTCCGAACAGCCCATGGCCTGGGGGTTGGGGACTCCAGAACTAATCAATCCTATATGGAGCATCCAAGAACAATACCAACTTTTCACATGATTTGCTTCTATTACACCCAATAAACAAAAAGCAGCAAGAGTGTAGATATATATTCCACTAGGATCAGATTGGGGAAAAAGGACTACTACACACACTTTTATTAGAATTATTAACTCCATAAGACTGAACAGCCTCATAATAACTGCACATTCATTATATGACCAATTCTGGCCATATTAGGCCAACTTATTGGATAGATCTGGATCAAAGAAGGATGACTGAAAGAAATTATAGGCTATCTTTAGACTGCTCTTGACAAGCTTTTATTGGTTGGCAAGACAGAAGCAGCTAGCCAGAAGTCTATACTTACTACTCTTGCTTCACCTTGGAAGTCATCCCATCTTTGCAAAAGTCTGACACCATGGAAGACTTTCTTGATGAAGTTAAGGCTTCAGGGACTAACAGTTGGAACAGGTAAATTCTTCTGTAAGTATTGTCAGAATTAATGCTGATAACACAGTTGGTCCTTGATTTACAACCATTTGTTTAGTGACTGTTCAAAATTACAGTGGTGCTGAAAAAATTGACTTATGACAAGTCATCCCTCTTCTAGGCACTTGGCAACTGGCTCACATTTATGACAGCTGCAGTGTCGGTGTGTGTGTGTGTGTCATGTGATCACCATTTGCTATTGTCCCTGCCTGCTTCTGACAAGCAACAATAGGGGAAGTTGGATTTACTTAATGACTATGTGGTTCACTTAATGATTGCAGCAAAAAAAAGGTCATTAAATTAGGCATGATCACATGATGGCTTAACAACCACATGACTTAGCCACAGAAGTCACCTGTACGGTGTTCCCGTGTTTCAAAAACCCGCTAACGCCAATACTTACGAATGAAGCCTGAGGAGCTTGGAGGATTGACGCTGTCACAGCTGTCTGCGCTATCGCTGTTGGAGAGCTCATCGTCGGAATTGGAAATGGGCGAGCCCACGTCCACATCATCAAACTTCCTCTTGAGGCCGGCACTTGCGATGGCATCCATTTGTCTCTGGCTCGCATGGAGAGCCAAAGAGCAGAAGAGAGATTTGTATTAGCTGATGGTTTCTGACTCCAGGCCTACTGATGGGATTTACCAGGTACCTAGTGAGGACAAAGAGAGGAAAGGATAGTGAAGACAAAGAGAGGAAAGGATCAGTGACTACTTCGTATCATGCACCTGCAACACACAGGCTGTGTTCAGACATTGTACTCAGTCAGCTCATGCAGGTGCCATGCCTTTCTTTCTTTTCCAGCTATTCCCCATTATTATTTCCCCCCCAGAGATGAATTAAATGGCTTCTAAGAAAAGCCAAATATGTCAGATTGATTCCCTTTCATATATTACAGCAGGGCCCCCCAAACCCGTGGACCGGCATCGGTCCATGGCATGGCAGAACCCAGTCTGTGCACAAGTGAAGCCCCCGCCGTGGGATGCAGGCAGCATGCAAAACAATGCCCCTTCCGGTCTGCCGAAAAACCTCTCTACAGGAACCGGTCCCTGGTGCCCATAAGGTTGGGGACCGTTCTATTACAGGCATCAGTCACTCTTCATACAGTTGCATGAGCTGCTTTTCAGCCATTCAAAGCTGCCTATTACTTACTGGCTGGCACCAGCAAACAGACAATACGCTGGGAAGCAGAGCATGAGATGCCCACCTGCAGCTCTCAGAACCTTCTAAGCCAGGAGTAGCCAAAACTTGGTACCCTCAGGAATTGGGGGTATTTTTATTATGATGAGTTCTGCTTGTTAAGTAAGTTTTGCCCCATTTTACCACCTTTCTTACGACAACTGTTAAGTGAATCACTGCAAAGTCAATGGGGGAAGCCAGATTCGCTTAATGACCGCATGTTTCACTTAACAACAGCAGTAATTCGCTTAACTGTTGCAAAAAAAAAAAAAAGGTTGTAAAAGGGGGAAAAACCCACTTAACAACTTCCTTGCTTAGCAACGGAAATATTGGGCTCAGCTGTGGTCATAAGTCCATCTGTATACACTTTTATGCCTATTCATGCATGAATGAAAAATTTAGACCAGGCTGCTTTCTGCAAATGCCTTCTTGGCATCCAACAATCAAACACAGCTCCTCCCTCCCCGATGAGCGTAATGCACTAACAGTGACTTTTTTTGGGGGGGGGCAGGGGGCTTCAAGCCGGTGTTTGACTCTTGGCAACTGCCTGGACCAGTTCCTGCAGTTTTCTCGGCAAGATTTTTCAGAAGGGGTTTGCCCAGTGCCTTCTTCCTAGAGCTGCTCGGTGTTGTGGTTTCTAGCCTGACGCCTTAATCATTACACCAAACTGGCTCTCACAAAAGTGGCCCAGCAAATAAATAAATAAATAAACAAACAAACAAACACACACACACATATGCAAAATCTTCAGGTTTTCCTCATACAAAAACATATCCACCTGCTGATCATGGAGCTTACAGCCACTCCAACAGGCTAGCGTTTTTAATCTTCAAAAATAACCACTTAATTTGGCTTATTATTCCACTTCACAACAAGCCTTTGTATGTTTCCTGACTGCAAATTAAGTAAAAAACATTTTATATACAAAGTACAAATTGGCTATCGTTAGTTCATTTTTCAACAAAGGTTTGCAGACTTTATACAGTGGGAATTCTGAAGCCAGTCCTATCACACAGTAAGGTTCAAAAAGGTTCAGTTTTCAAAACTCCTAAAATTCAGCTGTATTTCCTACCAAAGCTTCTTGAGACTTGACTTTCAAAGCAATACAAAGGTTTATAGACCTCCACACAATAGGAGAAAAAGTGCTTAAAATTATGGTGGTACCTTCTATCCAAGTATCATAAAAGCTCAGATTAAAAAAAATGGAAATCCAAGTTACCCCGCAACATCCATAAAATTAGTCCTCGCTTAGCAACCCCAATTGCAACCAGTAACTCTATTGCTAAATAGAGTGGTGGTCGCTAAGTGGGAAATCATGTGACCAAAATGGCCTTGCAAGCTCACTTCCCCTTTGGCCATTAAGTGAAATATCATGTAACTGCAAGATGCAATATTTACAGTTGCGAAGTACCCAAATGGCAATTACAACCACGGGATGTTGCGGTGGTTATATGGTAATGAGAGGATTTGTTGCAAAGCTATTTTTTTTACACTGAACAGTTGCTAAACAAGTTGGTAAGCAAGGACTATCTGTATGTACTTTCCCATAATTACAGATAAGATTTGTTCTTTGTCATACAACTCTATCTGCTAGGACCAACATAAGTCTTTTTTTTTTCCTTCTAAAAGAAAGCAAATTGGTTTGTCAGAGAAAAAAACTGCAAGTGTTAAATTTTGAAATTAATTTTCCGCCCCTTGCTTTGTTTACTAACCGCTGAAGACTAGGCTCTTTGAACCTTAGAGGGGGACCTGATGCCAAGAGCATGGACTCCTTGCTATTTCTGTTGTGTTTTTTAGACGTAAATGCCCACTTCACTTGTTGCCTGTGAAACGCTATGCATTCTACAGCCAATTTAAATGGAAGGCTCTGAAGATACCAGTTGTTTTCATGTTCCTGACCATGTTCACATGTCAGACATGTGTGCTGTGCCTTCTAAGGAGTTAAATCTAGATTTATTTTTATGGAATGAATATACATCATTGGAAGGTGTATAAACATTCCTGATAAAACCAACAAGAATTCTGACCAAATCTGAATTGGCCAGTAGGGAAATGCAACCATTTTAACCATATGATGCACCAAGGAATATAAATGTTTATGCCAATTATACTGGGGAAAGTTACCCAGATATTATTCAATATAAATATTGACACTAATATCTTTTAAATGTAGTCGCTGATTTTTTTTTATAAAAGTACTAGCTGTACCCGGCCATGCATTGCTGTGGCTCAGACAGGTTAAATGTTTTTACCTGTCACAGGTGTGACATCTATATAATAGTAGGTATATAAAAACACGCGCGTATTCGAATGCAACGTTGTGTCAAAATTTCAAAGCAATCGGTGAAGAACGTTCAGAGATTTAAGATTTTGAACAAACGAACATTTACATTTTTATTTATATAGAAGATAGATGACTGTGGCTCAGACCTACTTTAGTGCAATCTGGCTAAGTCATGGCCAACAACAGATGTTTCAAAGAAAGGTGTATCAGAAACCCAACGTTAGTCAGGAGCATGATAATCCTATCCTGTGGCAGTCAAATCCTTATCTCCAACAGTGAGAGATGAAGTTAAGCCTTAGGAGACATGCGCAACAGCGTTTAATTTAGATGCAGCAGACCTGATGACCTACTTCAGCAAGGCTTAGCCTGCATGAGGGCAAAGGAAACCTAGGTTCCATGATAATATTGTTTTTATATACTTTAAAAACAGTTAATGGCAACAAGATAAGCTGGGAATCTTGCCAACCTCAGTGCAGAATGAAAGCCACAATGGAAAAGCGGGCAACAAGGTCCCAATGAAAAAATTCCCAACTGTTATTAAAATGAGGAATAGGGGAATTTCAAGTTAACCTGGGGGATTAGAAGGAAGAAGAGAAATTGTGGTAGGTTGGGAAATAAGATTGCACCAACTGAACGTGTAGTACAATGTATGGTATGGAAAAACCATAATCCAGCAATTGTCCCCAAACCCAGTTCCTGGCCTGAGTGTAAAACTATGACTTCCAAAAGAACACTGTGAGTTTAAAGTTCAAAACCCAAACAAGATAGAACATATTTTTTCCAAAAAAAAATAAAATGTGTTACTGCTATTGTATTACATTTACCTTTAGAATGATACCTACCACAATTTGAGACACCCTTTGGATAAAAGGTAGTTTACGTATTTTAAACATAAATATGCCTATGTGTTACACAATATGTAACACTATGCAGCGCTACTGTGTATATTGTCTATGTTGCAGTTGGCCCTTTCTTGCAAGAATCTAGATATTTTTCCCTTATATATTCTTTTTGAAAGTTGTAAGCTGCAATAGGCATGAGGCAAGCTTATACCAGCTCTGCTAGGACCCCTGCTATTATATCTCATGTATAACAAAGAGCTGCGTTAAATCAGAGGAGGCCGAACCTCTCCACATAATGGACTTCAGATGTTAATGGGAAGACCCTAAGAGGGATATGTGCCAAATCACAATCCCCGGCTCTTTCTGGAGAGTTAAGTATGTCTCTGTCTGTGTGCGCGCACGTGTACATCTCTGACAAGAAGCTTGCTTTACCACCAAAAATGAGATGGGGCAAAAACTGTCCTTCTGCTAGCATTTTTGTCCCCACATTAGCTTATGATATAAAGCAGAGATCCCCAACCTTTTGGGCACCAGGGACTGGTTCCGTGGAGAGAGGTTTTTCCGCAGACCGGAGGGTGCGTGGTTTTGTGTGCTGCCTGCATCCCACGGATGGGGTTTTGCTTGTTTGTGCGGACCGGTTGCTGGCATGCCACGGCCCGGTACTGGTCCATGGACGGGGGTTGGGGACCCCTAATATAAAGCCAGTTAGAAACAAACATCTCTGTTGGAGGAAGGGCGGGTGTTCTGAATGCAAGCTGCAACTCCAAAATTAGTAACACACCCTATTTAAAAACACACACACACACACAGAGCACTACCATCATTTCTCTGCAATCTGGCCTTTTTTTTTTTTTTTTTACATTAACACAACAGGACCTTGATAGAAAAAAAGAATCTGGGGGAGGAGGAGGAATGCAACACTTCTTCCCAGAAAGAAGCAAGCAACAGCCAAAAAGAGAATAAATCCCTCCAGCTGGAGCACTGGCAGTCCTTCCAAGGAGGAAGTATTTGGCTTCACTGGATGCCAAGTGTTTCTTCTTTGAAACATCTCATTCTCTTGAGAGGGTAACAGCTATTAACAGGGACGGCTCCAATTTGTTCTCCTGCAGGTTAGCTTCTGATTTATCCATTGGCAGAAAGACTTGTCTGAAGGCCAGAAGAAAAATGGTCACAAATGGTGATTACCTGCTCCTGTAAAAGCCTTGTTTGCCAGAAATTAAGGAAAAGAATGTACAGCTAAATTTATCAC